AGATTTGTTGAAATTGTCAAAAGTCCCACATCGGTGGATGACAATTTTGAATGAGAATTTCACTCTATAAAAGGAGGCCTAATGTTTAGGATTTAGGTACACCTCTCATTTGCCTTTTATCTTCTTAAGGCATTTGTATCTTCTCTCTTTAGTATTATTTCACTTGTAATTTTGGAGTGGAATAAAATATTGATTGTGTCCGATGAAGTAGGCAAAATTGGCCGAACCTCGTAAATTGTGTCCAGATAGATCAGTAACATTTATTTACACATAAAGTACATAAAAAAGAAAGTTGCAGAGAAGATTGAAAGTAACATAAAGAAGAGCAAAAAAGATGTAAAATAGTAGTAACATGTAAAATGAAACGGAAAGTGTACAATATTTGAAAAGTAAAATGTTATTGGATTTTTCCATCTACGATTGAGCTGTTATAGATCTTCCTGATGAATTAGACAAGAACGAATCGTGCTGTATCTTTCTTTATATTTTAAAAGGCTACACCTTTCTTTTAAAGAGAAATAATGTCATTATCCTATTCTACAGAGATAAGATTCAGTAATCATGATTAGAATACAATTTATAGACATCTCCCTGAAGTAGGCCACTATTTTCGTTTAGCTACTTCAACTGAGCCTTGTACCTTTAGACACCCCAACCTCACTCAATATGTGTCTAATAAACAACTTGGAGCAGTATAGTATAGGCCAATTTTAGAGAGCCAAAAATTAACCAAAATAGTGCACTACCATAGATCAAAGCGAAACAACCAACCAGCTACAGAGGATTTCTCAACACCAAGTTACTCTAATAAAGCTTCCTCCTCAAACATAACCAGAATCATAACATCGGAGCACATTTTTCTGTCTTACTAATAGAACACAGATAACCCTATGTTCTTAAAGACATAACTACGAGTGTAGACGACAAATCACAACACTTTTTTTCATGTCTTAGTAATAACACAACTAAATGACACTACATTCTCAATAATAATTAAGATAATAGATAAGAGTTTAAAGAGATGACTAGTTCACTGCGTAGCTTTCACATCAACATTGGAATCAGGAGGTCGCTCGCCACCTGCCAAAAATAAAATGATAATTGCAGCTAAGAAAAGCAGAGCAGGGCAGACCCAAAATAAATTTAAAGCATCAATTTTCTCATCATTTGTCTGTATATAAAACAATTTGGAAGTTCCAACCTGCACAAAGCAAACACCTTGAAGGCTTGACCAGAAAATGCAGACCTTGCGATCGAGACAGACAAGTTGCAACGACAAGGGAGTTGAATGTTTTAGGTATAACATTATTTCTATGTGAAACAAGACTTATGTCCTACTAAAGAATTTTCCAAAGGAACCTAACTATGAGAAAACAGACTTTTGGTTATGACCCCCGAAGTCGCCACAAAATCAAGGGTATTTCGTGGCGATATATAGTTGCATGACAAGGAAAGATTTTAGACCTGAAAAGTCGCCACGTGTAATCGAGACTATAGGCTAAATTTTTGTCCACTGAAAATGAAATATTAGGCATGGAAAATTTTCGTGGTGACCTGCTGAAAGCCACCACAGATAGGCATTTGGGGCGACCTAGTCCCTTCGTTTGGTCCTTGTTTCCAGTTAAGCTGGAATCTTTTCACTAATGCAAGAAGCTCTTGCAATGAATCATGTACTCTTTGAGTAATTTATAAATCAGATTCCCTAGGTAAGAAAACAGTTTCGTGAGAATCTGAATGAGTAATCATTTCTTGGTAGAAAAGAAAAATTGAGATGGGAAAAGAAAAGTTACACATTCTCTGAGTTCTACTCTTGAATGAATTATTTTTTTTCTTCAGTACCAAAAGATCCTTGCCATCATCAAGAAGGAAAAAAAAAAGTGGAGATCTTTCATTTGGTTCTAGGAGGGTATAATCATGATGAAAATGAAAAAATGGATTATGGCAAGGAAAAGCTCAAACTCGTAATAAAATGAGAAATTTTTGACAAAAGACAAATAGAAATACACATTTATAGCAAAGAGAGAGGGAAACGTTATGAGGAAATTAAAAAAAAAAAGGCAGCCCGATGCACAAAGTATCTCGCATTCACGTAGGATCCGGTGAAAAGCCGTATCCCAAGGGGTGTGATGTAGACAGCCTATTCACGGAGGATCCGGTGAAAAGCCGTATTCCCGGGGGTGTGATGTAGACAGCCTACCCTGATGCAAGCATAAGTTGCTGCTTCCACACTCGAACCCGTGACGTACAGGTCACACAAAGGCAACTTCACCGTTGCTCCAAGGCTCCCCTTTAATTTATGAGGAGACAGTGTTCCTAAAAATTGTTATTCATGGGAGACTTGTAATGTTTCTAGCTGAACAACATCAAAACTGCAGCTAAAAGTGATTTTCTAATTCATTTCTTAACACAACAAAGAATGACAAAACAAAGAATAACACATATCACAACAGCATTGATCAATGCAATCATGTGAATTCTCTCATAAATAAGAATATTCACAAGGGCACTTATAGTTATGGTAAAGTGAAAAAATGAAGATACAATTTCTAAGTACTAAATTCCCAGATCAATTTGACCATAATACGAAGAAAGAGGCCAAGTCTAAGTCTATAAGATCCTCGAAAGCTTTGTGGTTCTCTTTTTGTGTACATACAATTAAAATGTATTATGAAGTTTCTCTATAATGATAATGTACTATGAAGTGTTGTGTACTCTATATCATGACTTTTATCAACGAAAAGTTCATAAAAGACTTACTGAGAAATGTCTGCAAATCGGTGATGGTCGCTGGTATATTGTTGGGCAAACTAATAGGAACTTACAGTTGATATAAATTAATTAAAATGAAATTGGTATTTGGGGCAACCCGCAGTCGCCACCAAATGTATGCTACAATAAACCAATAAATACCGGTGACCACATAGGATCGCCGCTACACAGGTTTATTTGTGGCGACTAGGGCTGCCACTGAAAAGGAATGTTTTTTTTTTTTGTGGCGACTGATGTCGCAGCTAATATACACTATTACACAAGTCGCCACTAATAGCTACTCAACTGCAAAGTCGCCACTAAAGGTCATTTGAGGCAAGTTTTGAGCTTCAGTAATGACTTAGTTGGCACAAAAGCCCTCATTTCTTGTAGTGCAATTAGACGAGGTAAGGTCAGAGACAGCTAAAAGAGCCATCAACAGTCCAAGACATCACACTCAGCTGCACCCACGACTTTTATGCACATGGACATGAATTTTCAAGAATCTCAAGTCTCCATAGCAAAAGAAGGCTATGCATTAGATTTCGAAATTGTGAAAGAGACCAAAGACTTCAAATGCCTTTGTGAGTTCCGATACAGACCAAACAAATATATCCACCAAGCCAGATCAAACCACGAGTATCAAAATAGTCCAAAATGCCACTTGCTTGGGAAGCCATTTTGATAGAAAGATATTACACAAAGATGATTTCACTTAAGTTGGTCTTTGATGAGCTAAAACATCATGGAGATGTTACTTATTTGATGTTAAACTTATCGCCAATTGGACTACTGAAACTTTTTTTGGTGACCCAGAAACTCGCGTGGCCGCCAACCCTTACCCGCATCCTATAAAGGAAGCGAAGCTCTTAAAAGTGAATAAGATAACATCCTTGCTGCTAAATAACTAAAGATCAGAATGCATCTATTTTCATTCCTNCCCCAAAAAAAACACACGCTGGTCAATGCAAGAAAAAAACCGCACAAGGGACAAGGTAATCCTAAGAGGGCACAAATATTAGAAGTTTATACATATTTAGCGTAATCACGTTTCATATATATGATTGTAAGTAACAAGGGAGAAGATGCATATTAAAAGGTTTACCTTCACCACTGGATTGATTCTTAAGCCTGCAAAATATAATTTCTTTGTCTCCATCAATTCCCCACCATGCCAATGTTTGAAAGGTCTTTACAGCATCAGAAGCAGCATCAGCATCCCTGGCTTGAAAGGTGATACGACACCAAAACCCAGCAGCAAGTGATGTGTTCACAGTCAAATTTTTGACAAATTCGTACCGTTTATTCTAACAAATAGAAGAAAGCCAAATTAAAAGGGGCAGACAAAATAACATTTTTCTCCAAGGATAAGGCAATTATATAAGAAGTTTTTACTTACATTCTGTGAATTGAAATCGTCAATAGCCATGTGAGACAGCTCGGTATATCTTGGGATGTTCTCGAAACCCCATTGTGGATTAATTGGAGCCACAACACTAACCCCCAATGGCAAATCCAAATTGATATCAAAACCCTATTTTGCATAATACATGCACAAAAAGGACAAATAAAAAAAACAAGTAGAAAAAGCACACACCCAATGGTGTGGTTTAGTAGTCAATGAAGTAGAATGAGAATCATGAAGTCTCGGTTTCAATAAGTCTAGCGGATTAGACTAAACCGACACCTAATAGGGTAATAAATTTAGTCTTGGCATTAATTGTTAGCTCTACTGTTTAGAGACAGTCAAGGAATCAAAATTTGCTTGAAGAGACTCTTTTTTTTGGTACAAATATCAGACATTTAGCGATATGCTTGGCGAAAAATACTAGGTGATTTCTTACCATCAAACGAAATCATACGAATAAGTAGGAAAGGTTATCTACGGGCTCAAACTAACTAGTAGCTTTAATCCAAATGTTGTATTTGTATTAAGAAATTCATGAAATAAAAAAAAAAATCAATAATTATCCTAGAATTTAGAGGTCATAAGTATGAAAGGAGGGTACGCACCTCGCTCTCATCCACCTGCCGATTATATTCCTCCCGAAGTTTCCGGGACATACTGCGACAGTCGACATACATACCATAATCGTGATCAGAATCAGAATCAGCGACATTTGAAACTATTCCATTACTACTCTCCTCTTCCAACTTTTTTTTCCCTCGGCCATCATTCTCTGGAGGTGCCATCTGCAATCGGAATCGGAAGCTGCTGAAAATGTGAGAGAGAGATTCTTCTTAACCCTAACCCTAGAAACCTCTTTCCCAAATTTTATAACGTTGAGATTTCCCATATATTTCGATGGCAAATTTATGTTGAGTTAAAAGAAAAATAGAAACATGTCATAATATTTGTTGTATGGTTATAAGATATTTAAAATTTGTGATTCTATAACAACAAGATGAGCATGGACCCAACGCTTAATTACAAAAATAAATTTCTAAATTGCATTACTTTAATTATTTTGTAAAGATCATTCATGTTAATTTAAATAATATATTTAAAGATGAAAATTTAATATGTATCTTTGTTCAATAAAAATTATTGTGTTTCCAAGTTAACCATCTCATTTTAACTTAATTTATTGGCAGGTCACGGGTATACTTTTCGATTCAACCAAAATATACTTTATATTTAAGGTGTCACTACTAATACATTACTATATTCTAAAAATATATACATATAAACATATGATTTTTGCCGAACTTTATAAGTGATAGTAACCCCTGTTAGTATAGCATAGTTTGCCTCTGTTTGTTGAATTTAATATCAAGTAAAAAGAAATAAAAAAGTTACCAGTATTTATCAACTTGCTTTTTTTGTGTGTGTGTGTGTGTGTCTTTGTGTATTATTTTTCCTCATATTCTTATTTAAAATTTACAATAAATCTTGTTTTAGCGTAATAATAGGTGGGCTTATTTGTAGCACAAAAATTCATACGCAACACATTTTGGTAATTTTTAGCGCGTTAAATTTAAAAATACGAAGTCCCCTAGATTTATTTAAATCTCGTCAACTTGTGATTAATCAAAGTGTTTGCATTTTTCGTTGTTGATAATTCGTTAGTTAATAGTATTAAAATAAGATGAGATGTCTTTTTTTAACATACGAAAAAATATGTGTTACATTAGAAGTGAACCCGAAAATATAGAAACAAATATTTCTAAAGGAGTACTAATTTTACTCTTTCTTTTTATAAAATTTTTTCGTTAAGTGCTTGAATTATAGATAGTTATTTGAGCAATTCCACCTTGAAATATTTACCTGACATTCAAAATAAATATGAAGATTCAAATGGTAAAGATATTATAATTTGAACATTAATACCGTAAGTTTTAATTTTAGTATGTGTCATTTCCTAATTAGTTGACCCTCTTCATGTTATATATATGAAAAAATAATAAATTTGCTATTAATATTATAAATTAATACGGAGCAGGTTTTTCTAAATGAGAATAAATTAATAATTAATAGAAGAAACTCAATGTTGTTATGAAAATAATTATAATGTGGATGTCCATTTATTACTCCGCTATAGATAATTTTCATGAAGAAGATTATCTGTTTGATACTCTATTGAAGTTTATCTACAACCAGCTGATGCAAGCATGTTGCAAGCAACTCACTGAAATAATTTGCAGCAGTTTCTTATTAAACAGGCAGGTTGCAACAGCTCATGCAGACAGCTTACAAGCAGCTCAAGAAAAGCCTCGCAACTGCTTCCTGAAAAGCCTCGCAGCTGCTTCCTTTCTTCTATAAATATAGGAGTTTTCAGTTCATTATGTACAACAGTTTGAAGTTGAATAAAAATATCAATCTCCATCTATACTTGTCTTTGATTTATTTACTTTGCAGTCTTTATTTTATAACACATTATCAGCACGAGACTCTGTCATTTTGAGCACTTACATCGAATTTAATTTCTATTTCAGTGTTCATCTCCAATGTAAGGCGACACTCTTATGTCCGTGGTTAGATCTTGTTAATTCCGAGCATCATAAGGTAAATTATATCCTTGAGGTGGTGAGTTTTTCTTCTTGGCAGTAGTGATGTAGATATCACTTACATCTGGAGTGGCCAAATTTGCGTAATTTAATTTGAGTCTTTTGCTTATATTTTAATATATTTACCATTGCTTGCTTGGTTATATGTTACGTATACAATACCTATTTTGGTATTTATTTTCATCCTAATTATCTTAATAAAGGATTACAAAGTGGATAACATAGTTAGATCCACTTAAACTCCAGCAGAGTTTGCAAGATATATACAACCACCAGAAGTGGTTATGGTTCGTATATCTCATTGTAACTAAATTTTGTTAACCACCAGAAGTGGTATATGCCTATACCACCAGAAGTGATAATTTAGGCTTTCTATAGTTACAATTAAAGATAAGCTAGAGAAATATTCTCTATATTACATGCACGCCTCGATTTGCTCATGAAGTAGTAAATATTTTAAAAGAGGTTGAAGCATCACAATTTGATGTGATTAATGCGCGTTCAAATAATTATGTTCGATTTCTTGAAGGATGAGAATTTTTGATAAATATTAATCCATTCCCTGAAGTGATTGTGATAATATTAATAAAGCCGTAAATATGAACACGCTCTTGATGTAAATATATTACAATTCACCTCCAGAAGAGTTAATATGATTGAGAGAATATATATACTCAATATTTCGTATTTTAAATCTACTCCTGAAGAAGTAACACAGTTGAAATTTCCTCCTGAAGTAGGAAAATATTATGAAGAGGTGTTTTCTTGTGCTTAAACAATTATTTTATGCTGTTTATTTGATTATGATTTTCTCTCATGATACCAGAAGTGTCTAAGCAATATTTAATAGTACAAAATATATCAACAACTCCTGAAGAGCTAACTGTTTGTCTAGAAGACACACGACGCCAGTAGTGTCTGATAAATATTAGATTGTGGATAATAAATTAAGGCTTTCGAATAGGTTATATACAAATATGTCATTCATATTATATGATTATGGTCAAAACATATGTTGTAGCAAACCTGAAGTTTACTAATACAAATGGCTATCATATTGAGACTACAAATGACTAGAAGATTGAAAATCTTCATATTTCTACAATCATAGGGGGTAAAATAATATGTATGTGAGAAGTGACCCGCCTTATTCTTCAATTTGTACTATAGCATGTATAACAGTAAACCAGAAGTTTACTAATGCAAAAACAGTCACATTAAATCAGAAGTTTTACTGAGGCAAAAGTAGCCACTGTAAATCAGAAATTTACTGATACAAAAGTAGCCACAGTAAATCAGAAGTTTACTGATACAAAAGTAGCCACAGTAAATCAGAAGTTTACTGATACAAAAAGTTTATGCCATAGTAAATCAGAAGCTTACTAAGAGATATCACATGCCATGATAAACTTTAAGTTTGTATTTGCCATTTTTAAATGAGCTATTTGAGAATTTAGATAAGCATATACTGAAGAACTAGAAGATTCTTCAAGAATTCTCTTGTGTTACTTGTTCCCATAATAAATTGATTATACCAGCTAAAGTTGGGACTAAAATCCTTCTGGCCATTCACCTATCATGTGAACCACTTATAGATGCATATATGAGATGGTTACATGTATGTTTATTGTCAACCTGCAGTTTGGCATTTGAAATTGCCTTTCTCAACTAAGAGCATAATTTTCAGACTATAAAATCAAGATAGTTTATCTTGATGATATTGGTTTATATCTGTAACACCCCGAAAAATTTTGAAGTATTTCAGTGTAAAGCCCAGTAATTTTCGCAAGTGAATTCAAGGTTTCATGGTGCCGGAGTAGGCTTACGTGTTTAAGGATGGTATAAGATCTTTGCGATCAGCTAGTGAGCCGCGGTTCGGACTTTTTGGGTTGAACAATGCACCGGAAAGTAAAAAAAAAAAATTTGGCGGAAAAGTGCGTTTATGTGGCCCATTATACGGCCGCATAATCACTTTGCAGACCGCATAATGGCCGCAGAGTGAAGCAGTAAGTTTGGCCAACTTGAGGTCCATTTTGCGGTCGATTAAGCGACCGTATAATCGATATGCGGACCGCATATCGGTCGCATAATCCCTCTTGGATTTTTGTAGAGGGAGTTCGGCGGTGCATTATGCGACCGCAGAACGAGTATGCGGATCGCATACTGGTCGCATACCTGGGCCGAAAGTTCAGGCCCCTGAGGGCTATTTCTGCGGTCACTTTGCGGACCGCATAACTATTATGCGGTCGCATATGTGACCGTAGACCTGTGTCGGGACATCTATTTTCTTAATTTAAAATCCGACCCCCATTCCGTTAAAACACCTCTTTAGTCTATTTTGAAGCTCATTTCTGATATTTCTAGTGTGAAAGAGAGAGGGTTCTAGAGGAGGGCCTAATTTTCATCAATTGATCTTCAACAATCACTCAAAGCTTTGGAAATATTCAAATAGAGCACCAAAATTCTTCACCCTAAAAGGTAAGGCTTCATCACCCCAGCTCTTAATTTCAAACATAGCTATAATGGGGTATTAGTGTGATACTTTATGGGTATGAGGGTGGTTCATCTTGCATGCATGTCATAAAGAGTGTGGAAAAAATAAAAAGTGAACTAGAACCATGAACGTTTTCCTAATTTTGGGTTCTATTTGTATATTGCTAAAATAGATTGAGGTTGCTAAGGGTTCCGGATAATTGTAGAGTCTAAAGAAGTGCGATTGAGGCATGTTGGCTAAACTTTCTCTCTTGAAATTGAATTCCATAATGTTTCTATAAGTTTCAAAGTGTGGGTTACGTATTAAAAGGTTATGGCTTTGAGTCGTGTTTCAATGAAAGATAGAATTGTCTAAAAGCTTTTGTACTAAATTCATGCCCATTAGTGGATGCTTTAACTAATGCTTTGATTTATAAATATATCCAGTGTGATTCGAGTTCTATATACTCATGTGTTAAAATTGTACATTGTCATTTCTGGGGGAGAGTATTGCAAGAGTAAATGGTGTATTGGCTGTTTATGATTTTTCATGTGTGTTTCTATTGTTGGTTGGTATGCTTCATTCTTTGGGAAGAAACCATTTATGTTCTAAGTTTCCACTTCAAATGGATCTGAAGTATATGATTTTTAAAATTTTCTATATGTTGATACTTGATGGTGATCTTTGAAATTGAAAGAGGTGAAAGTGTGGAATATGAAATACGGTCATCGTGCCAGGAATAAAGAATCTTGTGAATGGCCTAATGAGCCAGGAAAATATTGTCGTTGTGAATGACTGGAAATACTAATGAGAATTTATACAATG